ACAGTACAGATGAATGAACGAATATTCACTTCCACAGTTGTCTGGTTACATACATCTGAATATATATATATATTTATATTTATTATTTTTTTATTGTTATTTAAAAAAAAACTATCAATATAAATATATATAAAGTGCTTTTCAGTCCACACATAACTCATACACAAAATGATAAAGTGTGTCATAAGTGTGTATTTCAGATGTTTTCATTACAGTAGACTGAAAAACTGACAGGAGCATAAAGCTGTGTTTGTGTCTACAGCGTCTGTCATTAACACACTACTGAGCATCAGATGTTCAGTCAGGATAATAACGTCAATAACATCAGTGGACTGTAATGGTGTGAATGTGACATGATATTGACGTATTTTAGTATTTATTTAAATGTTGAACACTCACGAGCTTCCTGAAGAAACTTCTCTCGAACGCTGTCTGATGTGCAGTTCTTACACGTCTTTATGGCCACTGATAATGATGGATTCTCCTGTCATGAACACACACACACACACACACACACACACACACACACACACACACAAAGGACGTCACACACACACACACACACACACAAACACACACACAGGGCTCAAAGTGAGTCTGGATACACTCAGCAAGATTACACAATAAAAGATTAATCTGAAGCTGCATTTCAGCAAACATTTAGAAAAAAAGACAAGTGGGTAATACAATTTTGAATAAAATAAAATGTAAAACTAAATAAAAAAATTAAATGAATATTACAAAATTATATAATAAAATAAAAAATAAAATTAAATAATAATAAAATATAATAAAATAACCTATCATAGTAAAATAAAAGAAATAAATATAATATAAATAAAAATACATAAATAATATTATATAATACAATACAATAAAATAAAAAATTAAGTGAAAATTATAAAATTAAAATTTAATGAAATTAAATTGTAAAAAAAAAGAATTATTATAAAATAATATAATAAAAATAAAAATAACATAATATAGTAAAATTAAAAGAACAACAAAATATGTAAAAATGTATGTATGTATGTATGTATATATTTATAATACAATAAAATAAAATGTAAAAATAAAATTAAAAAATAAATGAAATGAAAATTATGAAATAAAATAAAATACTACAAAAAACTATAAAATAACAAAATAGTTAAGAAAATATATAATAAAATATAACATAAAAATATAATAAAAAATAAAAAAGTATAAAATAAAATATAATAAATTAAACTTGTAAAACAACATAAAAATATTATAAAAATAATAAAATAACATACAAGGAAATAAAACAAAAATAAAATTTAAATTTAAAATGAAAAATAAAGTGAATTTAAAAATAATAAAATAATTAACTGAAATAAAATAACACATAGTATAAAATAAAAATTAAAAATTAAACCAAACATAAAGTAACTTCCTCTCCGATGGTTTGCTTCTCTTATCCTCACTTGTAAGTCACTTTGACAAAAAGCATTTGCTAAATGAGTAATTGTTAATCTAAATGATGCTGAATTGAGTGTTTACCGGACTGATGTAAACCCCCTGATGGACGTCACCGAACTGCCCTTCACCGATACACCGACCCAACTCAATCCTGTCCCGCTGGATCTCATAATCCTGAGCTGAAGATGAAAACACACCAGAAAAAAACCCCATCACAAACCTGAAGATTAGCAGAACACACACTGAACACCACATTACTGCTCTAACAAACACTCCAGCTGATGCTCTGAAACAGAGATTAGTCATGGTGGACAATTTTCATTGCAGAAAACACCACAATATGAGCATTATTATTATCATCATTATTATTATATCAATACCATCATTATTAGATTTTTTTTTCATTATTATTTATTATTAAGTCAATATTATGATGGTAGTTTTTCCCCTAAACTACATACATTTTAATAACTATTATTAAGTTAGTATACAATCATTAACATCAAAAGCACATCTAATAAATTGTGCATAATTATTTATTTATTAAGCAGGTTCCCTTTTAAAAGCGCAAATAGTTAACCCTCCCAAAAATCTGAAAATTCACTAATTATTAAAGAAAACATTTTAAACTTATTTTTATATTTTATGTTATTATTATTATTATTATTATTATTATTATTATAAAAATGATTAATTTACAATTTAATATTTTATTTAATTTATTTTCTTCATTTAATAATTTTTTTATTCACTTTAATTTTAAAGTTTTTATTTATTTTATTTTAATTTAATTTATTTTTTAATTAAGTTA